TTTTTTTTTTTTTGAGACAAGGTCTTAGTATGTAGTTCAGGCAGGACTTCAACCTGATGTCTAGCCCAAGCTGGCCTCAAAATCACAGCAATGCTCTTGCCTAAGCATCGAAAGTGCTGGGATTACGGTTGTGTGCCACAATACCCAGCCGCGTGTAACGTTTCTGACAGGAGTGTCTATGACAACCCTGCAACTGTATTTCCAGCGACAGATACAGTAAAACAATACATTGATATGAAGCTTGGTCTTTGAATAAGTAATTCATGTATATGTCTAACAAATGATTTGCTTTTTGGTTTTTGTTTTGTTTTGTTTTGTTTTGTTTTTGGACTGAGTAGAAAGAGCTATTTTTATTTTTAAATTCAAGGGAAATGTGAACCTTTGAGAAAGTTAAAACTAACAAAATGCTTTTTAACAAACATGGTAAGAATTTTAAAATGTTGCTTGAGGATTGTAGGTGACTAAGAAATTTGTAGTTGTTTGAAGATAGATAAAAGTGGCCATATGTCTGTGGCTACAAAAAACACTTTTTACATTTTTCATGATGTGTCGCAAATCTTCACAAATTGGTTAAAATTAAATGTTATATATATGAATGATATCTTGTCCCACCTTCTGATATATAAATACATTATTTCTTAAGAATTTCACCCTGTGTCCTTGGCCCCAAAACCATCAGTTAAGTCAGGCCCTTCCGAGAGACTGACGTGGTGTCAACAGGGTATTTCTATCAGCATCCTCCAGGTGCCCTCGATGCTGCTGTCCAGGAGGAAGCAGAACAAGCCCGCATCCTAGAGAGGCTCTTCCATTGCATCTGTTATATATATATATTGCCTATACATTGCCTTGGATTTCACTGGAAAGTTCTTTGGTTGAAAACGAAGTCACACAATCACTGACATGATGTGAAGAAACCAGCATACTTGGGCCCAGAGGAGGAACTACGCTGTCTGTCCATTAGGCACACATCTGTCCTCACAACCACTTTATCTCTGGCAGGTAGACAACCCCTGGCATATGGGGGCAATTGAGACTTTGTTGCTGGCTGATGACCTTCCCGTCTGCACTACTTCAAGCTGATGTGCCTGTGGGTAAGCCACTTAGTTTCTTCAAGACTCCCAGGTTCTTTGAACTGTATGCAGTTGGGGTTTGTTCATATCATCCAACATTCACAGAACATTTACTATTGGAAGGGCATTCTTTTACACTTTTAATATCCCGGTGAGATGTATACTTTAACATCCCTATTACAGACGAGGGATGAAACCCAGAGAATTTAAGTAATTTTGCCCAGGTTCATCACTAATCATTGACATACAAACCCATCCAGTCTGACTTTTGCTGCTCACACTCTTATCCACTATGACATTCTGTCTCCACTTAGACCAAACTAAACTGAGATACAGGGAGTGGTAGAGGTAGGCAGGACACCATTTTTCCTGATCTCTCTTTTTATTAATGGACACATATAAAAACTGAGGAAGGCTCTGGAGGGTGGACACAGTGCCTTGAATCCTGATTGAGGACACTGGTTGCAGAGGCAGATGCTGCAGTCAGCAGAGAATTCGCATAAGGAAAAAGATGTCTTACAGGGTCCCATAATCTGGGTCTTCATGTTGTAGGGCCTATGGAAACAGTATAACATTTGGTGTCGAACTCCTCCAATTAGCCACACTGGAGCCACAGAATAAGGAGATCCATACAGATTACAATAGTAATTCTGTGGGACTCAAGCAACCACCTGGGGTCTTCAACTGAGATTAACACAGAGGAAGGGAACATTCTCCTTTCCACTTGAGAAATAGTCCGCAGACTGCCATTATCCTACCAGGGACCAAATGTTTAGTGGCTGAGTGATTCAACAGGAGCTGTACAACTGTGGACACTCACATACTCTGGGAACTCCCAAAGATACCTGGGCTTAAGCTAGGGAAAGAACTGGCACTTCTTATGAGCAGGTACGGACTTAGAGGCAGGGAACTCAAGTAGTAATGGGAAAGTGAGCTCATTCATATCCCCAGGCTGTGGGCTTGGGGACACACATCTGGATTACGTAGCAAGTAGGAACAGTGGTAAGCATTTCATCTACCTCAAGCTAGAAATTAGTGAGCACCAAATTAGAAATTAAAAAATCAACATGTTTTGCCCATGAATGAAATGGAAATGGTGTGAGTGAAGAAGAAAGATTTTGCCTAAATTATTCAGATGGATTGTCTGTATTAGCAATTGTTCATCATTTGGGCCACAGAGTCTCTTAAAAATTCATCAAAAGCTACAAATTCTTAACCAAGGAAAGTGCTCAGTTCGTCCCTCCTCAAAATGCCAACCACTTTTGTGTACTGAAGATGTTTGTTGTTCCCCCAACTTGAAGTCCTAGGCTTGAGGTGAAGGACTTCTAATTTCAACATTGACCTTTGCAATTATGTCTACCACCTTGGTATCTTTTTTCATGGCACAAATACTTATTGAAGGTCAACAGCTTTCTCTGTAATGAGTCCCACTCTTTCAATGCAGTTCTATTGTCTAACTGCCACAGCTCTAGTTGGCATGTTCATAGTCAGCCTCTTATTTGCGGCTGGCTGCTTGGTTCAGCAACACTTACTAGATGCAGCCTGTGTTGAAATCAAAACATCGGGATAAATGTTAGCCTTCCCTGTATAGCTATCCAGACATCTTGCATTCTATTGGAAAGGACCTCAAGAGAACAGCTTGGTGTAGAAGCAGTGTTGGGCAGACAATTGGGAAACTATGGACTCTGGTCTTGGGTCCTCACTTATGAATGATATAAACTGAAGCAAATCCCTTAACCTAAAGTAAGTTTTCTCGTCTGTAGAGTGGATTATAATAGCTCTCTATTTTCTAGGACTTTTTAAAGGATCAAATGAAATAATACCTGAGAAGATGCTTTGAAAATAGAGAAATGTTGTATATAATATATTATTATTATTGTTGAGGAAAGCTAGTGGTTTTATGGAGTGTTATTTAATCTGAGAAATGAAGGCCTCAGGTTGGGCAGCATGAACAGTTGTACCACAGGAAAAAGGGAAGAGGGTCCATTCTGACCAGCTTTGAGTTCTCATTCTGGCTTCATGCCCTGTTCCCCAGGCAGAAGCACAAGCCCAGGACATGAACATCTTTCCAAAGAAAGAACATATGATTTGGTATTTCCTCCTACAAGGTCTGGAGCCCTGTTCAGTATCACAAGTTTGGTATAACTCAACAGCAGTTCCTCGAGGCCTTGAACTAGATGAGTTATATTTGATAAGAGTTCTAGAAAGAAATTAATCATACACATAGGTCTGGAATTCTTCTGAATAACTCATGCTTCTGACATTGACCAAATCTGTTTTCTCAAAGCCAGTAGCTTGTGCCCAGAAGGCTACCTTAACATTCACTCCTCTGTTGAGAGTTTAGGGCATGAAGCCATCCTAATATTTGTCCCACATGGGTAGGAACCTAGACACTCTGTTATCCACCAAGGAAAGTAGCTGCTGTGATACTGTTTGACAGAGCAACATGAAGGACAGGAGGTGCCTTGGGACTCAGTAACTACTCAGAGTGTGTCTCAGTTGTCCCTGGTGCTCCCCAGAAGCCAGTGGACAGTGATGCTTCTGACTGCAGCCATGCTTCTGGGTTTTGTTGTTGTTGTTGTTGTTTTTGGTACCGGGGATCAAATTCAGGCCTTTGCACTTGAGAGGCATGTAGTGCAACAGTGCTTCTGAAGGGACAGCAGGACAACCAAAGAACAGGCAAAGGTGAAATGGACTCAAAAAACCTCTTTCTTCAGTCAGCTAGTTTTAGAATATTCAGTAATCCTTCAAGAATGACTTTCCCCCAAGAAAGAACGCTAAAATGAAAGTTTCACATAACAGAATTAAGCACAGAAAAAATGAGCTAAATATTTTTGCAGTAAGATTTACAAACCAAAGATTAATGGTTTCTGTTCCTATGCAAACTTCTAGAAGAGACTTTTTGCTTTAATATTAAAGACTAAGAAACAACAAACATACCATCGAGCAGGGTGTCAAAGTGTAGGGTTTGCAAATACTCCTTCTCCCGCATAAATCCTTTGAGGGGAGTGGCCCAGCCTTCACTCAGAATTTGAACCCACTGGAGATCCAGCTGCAAAATACAAAAAAGCAGGTGAATATTTCCATAAATTCTATTTCTCAGGCATCTGGCCTCAGGACAGTTCTTTCTTATTCAATTGGCAGGAGGATGAGAGCAGAACCTTTTAACTCCTAAGCGTTTCCACAAGTTATGCTGACCTGTGATGTAAGAGTCAGGTAAGTTAGGTAAGTTTAAGCTTGGAACTTTCCTATAGAAGAGTGTCAAAAAGACACAAAATTAAGATGATATATTTGAACATTTGAGGCTGTATCTATTCCCATAATGTGCAACTGAGTTGAAATTTTGCTTTGTTCTTTTTTCCCCACTAAAATTCTGGTTTGGTTTTATATATATGTGTGTGTATATATATGTATATATGTGTGTGTGTGTGTATACATATATACATATGTGTGTATATATATATATACGTATATAAATATGTATATATATACATATATACATATGTGTATGTATATATATATACATATACGTATATAAATATGTATATATATATTTTTTTTTAACCAGATTTACTTATTGGTCATTTGACTGAACTGAGGAAACCACTAACTCAGAGATGAAATCCAAAACTATTAGTAAAATACTGAAAGCTTTTCAAGCTCTGGCCACTCATATTCATGGAGGGTCTCTTATTCACCAACAATAAGCACACTTATTGTGTTTTACTGCCCGCCTGCAAAATTCCAGTCATACTTTAAAACCCAGCTCATGGTCCATTACTCTAAAACTATTTCTATCATCCCTATGACCAAAAGAATGAACCATTGGATCTTTGAAGTTCTCTACCTTGCAGGTCATTCTGCTATTGGCTTTTTAAAAAGCCACACACAGAGCAGTTTGCTGGGGTTGTATCTTGCATCTTCCATGCAATAAAATTAGTGCAACCAAGTTTGTCTCCCTTTTTCCTCAGGCTGGATTCTTTTTTTTTTTTTTTTTTTTTTTTTTTTTT